AATAGAAGTTGAATTATTATTGAATGATGACATTGTTGGTGGTCTTGGAATACGTAAACCAATTGGAGTTAATATTAGAGATGAATTGAGCAGAGACCAAGGGTCATTGTCAAATACGAAGTATTATTACTATATTCAATGTACCCCTGGTTAGGCCACTTGTAGGACGTATTATCATCCTAAAATTAAAGTAAAAGCTCTAATCGTTAGCATTCACATTCTTTTTTAATTGCAACATTGGACTTTTTGCACTACTCACATATTCTACTTTGACTATATTTTATTTATTAATGTATTATAAATTAAATTTTTAAAAAATATAGTTAAATTATTCACATTCTAAATTTTCGAAATCTGGATTTTTTCAATTTTTTACTAATAAGGAACGAAAGATGTTAATGATCAAACTTGTGCGTTGGCAAACGTGAAATATTGACTGTTGCAATTAAAAGAGAACAGAGGAAGTAGTTGTGTTTTATGTTTATTTTTCTTGTTTGTCATATTCCCCACATCTAAACTACTGCTTCGGTATAATTGGTTTGTACTCTATAAATTGGGACCTTTTTTCTCTATTTTTATAGAATTATAGTCATACACTGCACAATATTGTAGGGTAAAAGAGTAATGGTCCTCTTTACATGTGCATGCAGGCCGTGATCATTGCAGGGACGGACGCATCAGTGGTGGCCACAGAATGGGTAATGACACTCTTACTGAACCATCCAGAGGTCCTAAACAAGGCCAGGGAAGAACTGGACATTCACGTAGGACACAACCGGATGGTAGAAGAAGAGGACCTACCCAAACTCCGTTACCTCCACCACGTTATCCTTGAGACCCTAAGGCTGTTCCCACCAGTCCCAATGCTGGTCCCACACGTGCCGTCACAGGACGTCAAAGTTGGAGGGTACACTGTTCCCAAGGGCACCATGGTTCTGGTCAACGCGTGGGCGGTCCACAGGGACCCTAAAGTGTGGGGCGAGGACTCCCTCAGCTTCAAGCCGGAGAGGTTCGAGAAGATAACGGCGGCGGATGACGTGGAGACCCACAGATTGCTACCGTTTGGGAAGGGGAGGAGGGCGTGCCCTGGGGCAGGGCTGGCGCAGAAGTTTGTGGGGTTGACGGTAGCGTCGTTGATACAGTGCTTTGACTGGGAGACGCCGACCGCGGATAAAATTGACCTCACTGAATCTTCTGGGACCACCTTGCCTAAGGCTGTCCCCCTTGAGGCTCTTTGCAAACCAAGACCGGTCATGAAAACCGTTCTTGCACGTGTCTGATCGATTCAAAGCATTTTACATATTTGTTCAATGTACCGCATTTTTCATACGTAACAATAAATCAATAATAACGAGAAACAGTGTTTTTTATACAATAATGCAATGTAATTAATGATACATGCATTCATATATGGGTAGTTAGAATATTTTAAATTGAATTCAAATTTGTTGGTCTGATTATTATGATCTATTTAAATATGTTGTCATAAATGTCTATACACTCTACATGTAATTTTATAATCACTTATTCACTTGTATGTTTATATTTAATTGGTTTAACCTTAATCTTATTTATTCACTTATTCACTTGATAGGTTTTTTAACCTTACTGTTAGTTCTAGGAAGATGTGCTGCATGTAGTTTTGTGACACCGTTTTTTGAAGCCACGTTTCTCTTGATTGTTGTGGTCATGTAATAGGCATGTTATGCTGCTCACATGTCTTTTGATCACTTTTTTAAGGTACATTTGATGTAAAATGGAGAGTTGTAATTCTTTCATTAGTCTAAATTAATACGTAGTATGTTCTTAATCCACTTACATACCAGGTAGTAGTCTTGAGATGCATAAAAAGGTATATTAATTGATGTATACCTAAATTAGTTATTTGTTGTAAAGGCAAGTGAAGATCTACCAGCAACTGTACTGTTATTTTTCTTTATATTTTCAATGAAATATGTTTTTAATGAGTAGATGTGCCAGTTTGTTATCAATTGTGAGAAAGTTGATAACTTTGTCATAGAAATATAGTGCAGGTAAGTATGCTCAAGTAATTTTTTATCTAGCTTTAGATATATGATTTTATGTAAGATATTTTCAGAATCTAATGAAATTGTAGATTCATAGGTACCTAGACGAGAAAATGATCTACGATGATTGAAGAAATGCCTGTATAGTTAAAATAATTTGAAGAAGCAATGACTAGATCGATCTCAATACATAGCTAATCTACTACTAAGTCTGGGCTTCCTTGGACAAATCACTTATCCCGTATATCGTATGGTAAGTTAAAGCTACTAATCTAGTATTGTGATACTTAGAATTATTCATTTATTTTTTTAACCAAATAAATTATATGCAGCGATCATTGAGTATTGGTTGCTATCGATATCGCATTTGACATTGTATACTACTTTCACTCACTTGGGGGCATTCCACCCTTTGATTCAGAAGTGATTGGGGATCATTTAAGTACTTTCCTAAGAGTTATATTACTGGAGGACCATCCCTAATGGCGTGCTAAGAGGCATGCTTAGGGATGGCAATGGGGCGGGTTTGGGGCGGGGGTACACTCTCCCATTCCCCGCCCCATGTCTAAAAAGTCCCCCCCATCCCCGCCCCATCCCTCGTTACTCTCAGACCCGCCCTATCCCCACCCCACCCCGTTGTCCCCACGGGGGCCCGCGGGTACCCCCATATAGATTTAATTTATCGTATTTGCATACACTTTTAATCCATTATAAAATATATGGTGCAGTTCCAGTGAGAACGATGTTTAACGTGAGAACGTGAGCATACTCACATTTAATCCAATGTGATACACAATAGAGCCCTTCTAATGCACATATTGACTTTGCTCAATACTAGCTAATATAAATAATCACGGTGCCACTTTTGTAAATATTATGTTTGATACAAAAAATTGCATTGTGCGAGCCTCATTGTGCGTCACATTGGGGGTAAATGTGGTGTTCCCATGTTCTCACGTTAAGCATTGTTCTAATTTGATCCTAAATCTATAGATATCTACACACACACACACACACACGAATATGCAACACTAAGTATTGTTAAAAGTTTAGACCGCCGATTTTAATAATTCTTCAATTTGAATGGGTTTTGTGAATTGAAGACAGTTAAAGTTAAAATATAAGTAAACATATTATCATCATGTACGTCATTCAAAAATTTTCAACAATTATAATACAATTAATTACATGTTACATATAAATGTAGGTGTGCTTATTTACTCACTTTCTCACTCTTAAAACTCATACAGAGTATAACATTTATGTAAAATATTTTTAATAATTACTAACTTATTATTATTCTAGTATAATATGTATTAATCCACTAACCATGACTAAAATGTATACGATCATGTATGTCTATACGTATATGTATATGTATATGTATATGTATATGTATATGTATATGTATATGTATATGTATATGTATATGTATATGTATATGTATATGTATATGTATATGTATATGTATATGCGTTTGTTATATACAACATATAATTTAATTTAATATGTTTGTACATTATTTATATATGTGTATATATGTGTGTTTAAGTATATATTTATAACGGGGGGCGGGGCGGGGACGGGGCGGGTGCAGCAATTCCCGTCACCCGCCCCATATTTTAACGGGGTAAAAATATCTCACCCATCCCCGCCCCCGCCCCCGCCCCACTCCAAGCCCCGCCCCATCCTTCCCCCACAGGGCGGTTCTCCACAGGTCCCCGTCCCCATTGCCATCCTTAGGCATGCTTTCCCTAAGCCTAATCCCATTTCCCATTCTCATCCATAACAATATTAGTATGATAGTTTTTGAATTTATTATTGTGCATTATTAGTATTCAGATATTTTAATTTAGCATTTTATATTATTAGTCATTTTTGAATTTTCAACATGGCATCAAAGTTTAAAAAAACTTATCTCTAGGGTTGTCTCTCTCTGCCGCCTCTAGTGTAGCTTAGGGTTATCCCATTTCCGTCTTGGACGGAGAACGGTATGGATAGAGAACGGACTCGCGGTCGTCGGTCACAAACAACGAGGATCGGTTCGGAGAAGTCGAGCAGGGGACAGCGTCGTGGTTTGGCATCGGTGTCGGCAGTGTTTTGCTCAGCAAATTTGTTTTTCATTTCAATTGATGGAAGAGGTGCTGGATCAATACAAAAAGATGGCTTTAGGGGAAGAAAATAGTAATTTGAACTTTGATGATGAGGAAGACGGAGATCTTGACTCAACCGCAAAGGGGGATGAATTTCCAGTGGTGGGAGTGGTTCTCACGGATCGGAAAAATAGGGCTCAAGCTGTAAAGGATTTGTTTGCTTAAATTTGGCAACCGGGCAAAGGTATGTCAGTCCAAGAGATCGACGATAAGAGGTATTTGTTTACTTTTTATCATGTAGTGGATATGAATCGTGTCCTAGAAGATGGTCCTTGGTTGTTTGAGAGGAATTTATTACTACTTAAGGTGGCTAGTCCAGAACTCCAGATGATATTCCCCATAAGATGAATTTGTTTGAAACAGAGTTCTGGGTGCAAGTGCACAATATTCCCTATAGCTTTATGAATATAGGTGCTGCTAGATGAGTGGAAAACTATATTGGGGAGTTTATTAGGTTTGATGAAAGTCACTTTAAAGAAAGATGGGAATCTTATTTAAGGATTAGGATGACGTTGGATGTGAGGAAGCCCCTAATGAAGGGCTCTACCCCTTACAAGAGGGGTATTGGACACTGGGTGGATTTTAAATACGAAAAACTACCTAACATTTGTTTCATTTGTGGGGTGATTGGACATTTTCCGATCTGAAATATGATTTTTTATGATAAATTTATATTAACTGTTAGATAAAGATAAGTGTTGGAGGTGAAAAAATGAGTTTAAAGAGTCACATTCAAACAAAATCAAGATTCAAGGGTTGAAACTATAGTTGATGCTAATGAATAAAAAAATGGATCATAAACTTCACTTTTAACCAAAAATGGAGTTGGCGTGACGGAATTCCCATCAAGGACGCTTGATATGAACACTGGCAAAATTTATCTATGTATATATGTTTGCGTGTAAAACTAGCAACTTAGTTTAAATGAAACATTCATCCTTGGATTAAAATGGAAGCCCAAATGTGAGTAGGTAACAAAACTCTGGCTTTCATCTTTGTCATAACATTCATAGGCATTCACAACTTCTTTCTCAATCACATAAAAATCTGCCACCATACTGGCTGCTGCATCCTTGATTTGGTGCTTCTGGGACCACCTTGCCAAAGGCTACTTCTTGAAGAAGTTGAAGCTCTCTGCAAACCAAGACCAGTCATGAAAAATGTTCTAGCATGCCTCTAATTCAAAGCATTTATATTTCCAATATAAAGAAGAAAAATGACTCAAATAGGACTAAACACGGTGAAAATGTAATAATAGAATCATGACTTTTTCCATGTGATCAGGAAGAAGTAAAAGTGAGACTGAATATAAAAAATGCTGTCAACCATTGTGCACCTTTATGTGCATGAGCTTCTATACTTTAATCTTTTTTAATCTTTGGCCTCGTAAACCATTCCAAAAAGCAGCTGCATTAACCACTTTTTTACCTGGGAGTTGAACTTCTAGTACCTGAAATACCACAAACAACACTTAGCCTTTGTTAGGTTCAAATTAGGAAATGGGAGGGGAGGGGAACCAAAGAGTTCCAAAAGACGTTAAGTTTGACTCAATATGGGTGAGGGGGAATAATTACTTCAGTGTGTGTGTGTGTGTGTGTGTGTGTGTGTGTGTATAGACAAAAGTTCATGTCCGGAATTCCGGACAGGAACGTCCGGACGGCGGCGTTTGACCGCCTTCCCGGTGGCATTTTTTGATGAATTTTTTATGGCATGTTCTCCATCAAGTCTACATTTTCCGGACCAGTTAACTTGCAAAAATCATTTGACAACCTTCCCGATTGAGTTTTTGGCTGAATTTTTTTGTGGATAAACTAGACTTGATGGAGAACATGTCATAAAAATTTCATTGAAAAATTCCACCCGGAAGGCGGCCAAACGCCGCCGTCCAGACGGCGGTTCCGGTCAGGAATTCCTGACCGGAAGAGTACTCTATATATATATATATATATATATATATATATATACACATATATATATATATGTATGTGTGTGTGTAATTTTGTTGCAATTGTAAGTATAGTTATCTTTATGCATATAAATAATAATTTCAAACAATTTTGATTTAATTGAAAGTAAATAAATAAGAAAAAACATATCCTAGAAAATAAGCTGAATCGGTGGAGTGAGATATGAGGATTAAGGAGTTTGGTAGAGCTTATAGAAGAAAAAATTAGAAAAAGAAGCATTCAATAAAGACTCTGGGTAATTCTACAATAAAAAACTGAAAGATATTTTAATCACACATCTGTAACAAGATATGATCCTCATTGATCTGGAAAGAGAAAAGTGATGCTCACTTCAAGTGTCGAGCCCCCACCACATGGAACTATTAGGGATCCTTTACGGAACAACAATTCTTCATCATCACCATCCTGAGTTATTACATTGTTGTGAACTTTCGTTGTGATGATTTTCAGCTCTATGATGCTATTCAGGTTACTTTTGGAATCAACAACCGCAAGTCTAGCTCTAGTTCCAGGCCACCCTGCAAATGCTCGAACCTAAAAGCTAACCATAGCAAGTCATTTTTTACTCAGAAGTCAGAAATCATGAAACAAGTTAGAAATTTACCTTGTTGTGAAGGACAGTTGCTTCTTCATCAAAGGATAGCCATGACTCATCAGGACATATCTGCGGGACAACCAAGAAATCACTACTAAACCATAGTTTATACTTTATATCCAGAACTTCTGAGACTTGAGTTATGAATGACTTAGAAGGCCCAACCCAATTTTTATGCCAAAGTGTCTGCTTAGTAGAGCTTATTTGGGATTTGGGAGTGTATTGCATATTGAAAGCTCCAAATAAGTTGTATGTTCTGTTTGTTAAAAAAACTAAGCTCTTGTTTGAAAAGCTATCTTCCATAGACCTATTATAATAATAGAATTTAGGATTGGGTTTACTTGAGTAAACATAGGCATAATTGATAAGACGCTGGTAATATCAAGGCAGAATTTACAGCAAATTCTATCACAACTACCAAGAATTGAGAGAATTAGGGTTTATTGCAATCTGAAATGAACAAAGAAACGAGTACAGAACAAAGGGGAGACAGTTCGAGATGCCCAGTCTCCAAGATTGTAGCCAACAATCATAACAGCCTGTCTATTTTTAGCTATACATTTTCTATTTATAGTCAAACATCCACGCAGGGATGACTGAACTGACTAACAGATTATTTACTAACAAACTTCTTATTTCGTCTTTTGTACACTCTGTCAAAGTATTGAGATGGCTGCTGTGTGTCTATCAATGATCCACATTGATCAAACCACACTAAAAGATTGAGTACTATTGATTAATTAGATCAACTGAAGGTCTTGTAAACTCATCTTCCTCTAATATTTCAATATGTGACTGAACTTTTTATCTTAGGTTAATAAGCTGCCAACTTTTTATTTAGCTTTAATTATCTTAGCTGTGTTAATATAAAAAAACTCTGTATCTTTTATATCCTTTTACAAATATAAGTGCTGCTAAACAACTAATTATGCCGAAAAAATCAAACTATTAACTTTCAACTTCTCAGCTATTAGATTTTTCAGTTTTCAACTAACTTTCAGCTTGACACGCCAAACAGACTAAGAAAAGCACAAGCACATCGTTTTGTACTTTTGTAATCCAAGAAGATTCCAGCAACACTACATTCTCAAACATTAATGAGTTTGAAGGCAGCTGCTCTAATGAATACAGAATTGTTTTATTTATCATATTACATGAATTTAGAATGCTATTCTCTTGGTAAAGCTTTTCTCATTTCCTGCAGTGACTTTCATTTCAATTTTAAATTTCAGTAATCGATTATATACCTTTGGAGCCAAGGAAGCTAGAGAGTCATCTTGATCTTGTGCCTTTAACTTAGCCGACCCATCCAAAATTGAGGGAAGCTCGCGGATTATAAGGCTAGACCCTACACACATTATCAGTAAACTCAGTCCAAGGATGGTCAAAGTGTATCTTAAACATCCACACAAAATAGAAACAATGAATATTTTTTTTAGGAATGGTTATCATTAGCTGTGACCTAAATAAGGAGCGCAATAGGATATGAAATTATTTATTGAAAATAATCACCTAGTGAAAAGAGTAGCTCAAGTAATTCTGGAGCCTGCAGAAACAAAGTTAAACTAGAAGTCAGAAAAAACGAACCCAATATCAGCAGAAGGCTGGTAAAAGTTAATTAATTATAATGTAGGCGTCGTCTATAACAAAAAAGCACGATCCAAGTTAGTGACTTAGCGTAGTCTTCTAATTAAAAAGATTATTTCCAAATGAAAAGTACAGAAGATCTCATTCTTATTTGAAAAATACACTTCGAATATAGTATCCCTAGTCAGAAGCAGAAATGAGCTTGAAGTTAAATAATCATGAGACCTTTATTTTATCATCAATTTCCACTTTTTCATAGGAAATAACTGGGCCAGCATCAAGTTGGCGAACAGTATATGCTAATGATACTCCAGTTTCTTTGACACCATCCTGAAGAAATAGAATCAAAAAGTGCCATTACAAACTGAACCTTTAAGCCATATAGGTAGACTTTCATTTAACATTCATAAGAAGTGAACCTGTAGTGATCTTTGAACAGGGGCAGCTCCACGGTATAATGGCAGCAAGCTTGGGTGTACATTGACTGTGCCTAAAACAAGGTAAATTACAATATTGGTGGAACCCAAGAAAAAGCTTTGTGGTGTAGATGCAAACGATATTCTAAAAAGAAACCTCAGTAAATCCAACAGCTTACTTTTTCACTGAATAAATACACTTGCAATTTAAGAAAAGCATCACATGTTGGAAAGCACATTTAATGGTCCATAAATACATAATGAGCTTCATCCTTGATCTAGACAAACACATCAACTGATGTACTTATGTACTCATTCATAATACAGAAAAAAAATAAAGAATTGAAAAACGGAGTTTTAATATGTGACGGATCACAAACATCTATGGATTGTGTCAACATGGTTTTACCAAGCAAACTATTGCAGGTGTGCAACCTTCTGTTACAAAAATAAAAGTACAACTGGAAACAATAAAGAAAAACTGCAACAGTAGGAATGGTTCAGCAATGTACCAAGGAAGTAATGGGATAAATTCACTTAATAGTACTCTCCCCATCCTAAAACAAAAGTTATTTCTTAAACACATCTTTTGTCCCAAAAAAAGAGTCCACTTTGATCAAACTAAGAAATCTTTTCATGTCATTTGCCAAAAAAATGACTAAAGAGTCACAAACATGTCACATATTCTCTATTCAGTTAAACCAGCTAATAAATTTTAAATATACTAGTATGATACTATGATTTATGAGCTTTGTACCTTATCAAAAAAAAGTTCTACATTCTTAAAAATGTAAAATGGGAATCTTTTTTCTGGGGCAGAGGTAGAAATGGAAATATATATTTACCAACCCTTTGATGGGATGTTTAGAAACTTTGTGGGCAATATATTCCCATAAGCAGCAGTGACGCAGAGTTCAGGCTCCAAAGCTTTAAAGTTTGAAAGAAAGGGTTCCTGTATTGAAGGCACGTAGACACATATACAATGTCCAAATAAAACTGATTGCTTTTAAGTAACTATAGATGAAAAATGGATGCTCATCAAAAAATGTATAATTCTATATTACGATAATGATGCTACAAATAAGGGAACCACTAAAAATTGAAAACTCGGAAATAATAATATTAATAACAGTAGTAGTAATAGTAGCCTAGTAGAAATAGTAATATTAATACTAAAAATGATAATAGTAATAATATCGCAAAAAAATGATAATAGCAATAATAATTGTTAATAATCATAAATTTTAATATAAAAAAAAAAGAAACAAGCTTTCAAAACATGCTGAGAATAAAAAATTACAATACTAATACTAATAATATTAGTACTAATAATTATTAATAATAACAAATCCTATAAAAGAGTACCTCACCAGCTTTCACAGGTGTGAAGATCATATCAGATGCAAAGCCGTGGTCAAGAGCGTGTTGTGCAACTGGTGAAGGCATAACTTTCCTTCCTCTATCTCTACCAGAGGGAGGCTGAGTGATGATAGCAGCTACCTGAGGACCAATGCCACCAATCTCACAATTTTACACAATATTCAATTATAAAATGAACTCAATAAAGGAGGTGTTTGGAAATGATTATGCTTCTGCTTCTTTTTTAAAAGCAGAGGTAGAATCAGAATCAGTTTTTCAAAATCGGGTCTCCCCCAGCTTTTCACAAGCTGTTAGGAGCAATAGAAGAACTTCTGCAATTCCGCCCAAATACTCCGACCAGCCCCAAAGACATGCTTATGACCATGTTCCGACTTCCGACCATTGTTTGTAATTGCGCAATGCAATTGCGCCTCATGGCGCGCCTCATCTAATTCCTGGACTATGGCGTAAAAGGCATTGCATATGACGCTGGGAGTGTGACGTACGCAATATTGCACTGAGGCGTACGCAATATTGGATACGCAATAAGGCGCTCTGAGGCGTACGCAATAAGAGGTCAGGGTGTAAGGGTATTATTTGGGCCCATTCGGCCCACTTTAAAATTTTTATAATTGATCTTATGATCCCTATTTGAAACCAGTAGTTATTGATTGAAATTTTCAGTCAATCAATATAATTAATTTAAATTTTCATATCTTAGATTTTTGTTTTGATAAATGATTTAGAATGTTTTGGTATTCTATGGTACTTTGAAGTTTGAACATGTTACTTTGCTTGGCCTCTTATGGTTTGTTTTAATATAACATTTGATGACTTTTGATGAATATGTTTATTTTTTATTATGTTTATATTGATGAATATGTTTATTTTTTATTATGTTTATATATATATAATATATATAATATATACTCCCTCCGTCCCCTTTTAAATGTCCCGTTTTACCATATTGGGATGTCCTTATTTAATTGTCTCATACCTTATTTGGTAAAGTTTGTGTGGCTCAAAATTATTCTTACTTTATTCTTACTTTATTCTTACTTTATCAATTAATATCAACCACACAAACTCACTTTTCTTAAAACCCGTGTCACCCTCTTCCGGGACATTTAAAAGGGGACAGAGGGAGTATATATTACGCCTCAGCTATATGCCTCATTGCGCAATGAGGCTTACGCAATATGCAATATTAAAAAAACGCCACGACTACGCAATTCGCAATTTCGAACCTTGCTTCCGACGAAGTAAATTAACTACTTCTACTAGTACAGTTCCTCTATTTCACATTAGCTGATGTTTAAATATTAAGTAAGCTAATTAAAAACTCATTAAATATAAATATACTAGAACCTTGAAATAAATGACCTAGGATTCAACTAACCTTGACTTATAACATGTTCTGAACTAGGAGATATTACAAAATTGAAATTGAGATGGAAAAAGGTAAACTTGAACAATTGGTGGGAAATGCTCTCTCTATCTATATAATGACAATTAAACAAAAAAAAATGACAGTTATCGTGCAAAAGGGGAGTGCATGAATGCACTTCATGTTAACTACTAGATGACGGTGATTAATTAAAATTCATCAAGCTATAAAAATGAATTAGCGGTACACCACATAGGAAATGTGTGATAAAACTTGGACTTGCTAACATAAAAAGAAAGGTGAATAGTCAATACCTCAAAGGAGGAATCCGGCGTAGCTGCGGCGTCGAATAAAGCGTCTAGAACCGACACAGATACCTGTGAGATGAATTGAAAATGATTTCCTGTTCTAAGCAACTAGTACGCAAAGTACGAAGATGGGGGAGAGTCTACCTGAGGGGAACCCAAGAAGACAAGACGGTTCTTCTTAGAAATGGATTTCATCACCGAAGTGGTAGCAGGACTAGAGGCGGCGCTGAAGCAGCAGAACCGCCGAATCATCACTGACGACGATGGCATCATCATCCTCTCACACCTCGCCGGCGCCGCTGTTGTTACGCCTTTGTTGTCAATTGGTGAGACGGTGACCGCCAAGACGCCAAGGTTACCTTTCGCCACGTTCGCAGCATTATTTGTCAAATTGAGATTTTTTTTTTGTTTTTGAAATCCGAAATTCGTTTAAGATTTGCAATTTGAAGAATTTTGTAAGGTAATTCTTGCCTATACAAAGTAAAACTAGGTTTTAATAAAAATTAGGTGAGTCTAAGTGAACCGGTCTAATTGAGTTTAAAAGCGTTCTCTCTCCTTCCATTTCCATATACGGAGTATCTTCTTCTACGAGTATCCATCTCTTCCACTTTTTTGTTTCCATTTAATGTTGTGATCTTAATTTTCTTTCTTTCTACGGAGAGAATCAAGAAAAATCATATGCTCTGTTCCCACCATATCAGCAACAGTGCAACACTGAGATATACTTATAAACAAGCATGTGTACGTAGACACAGAGGGAAAGATCCCAAACAAATGAGAATTTGTTTAAATCTCTAAAAATAAAGTTCATGTCAAATTTAAGAATAGAAAAATTATATGGACTCAATCATTGAATTTGAAACCCTCCACAAAAAATCAAAACCGTGAATGGAAATTTCACGATTGGGGAAGAAAAAATATTCTTGTAAATTGAAGAGTTAACAACTTATTCATAACTGGTGAATGAAAATTTCAAGATCTGGCTTATTATTTTCAACATGGGAAGGAAAAAAGGGAACGGCATCAAGAACAAGAATACTAGGTAGACAACTCCATTCGATGTCGGCTGAAAGGTACGAAACCAGGATAATTGCATTTGACTGGTTTAAGACTAGACCTGCACAAAAACGGGTTCGGGCCGGGCTCGGGCCGGGCTTTTTATAATTTTTTTGCCCATCATATGTGGGCGGGCCCGGCCCGGCCCGCAAAAACGGGCCTAACCCCATGTCCATACCCGCCCATAATAGCGGGCCGGGTAGTCCACCGGGCCTCCGGGCCCGGAAAACCTTTATATTTTTCGAATTTTTTTTAATAATTTAAAACTAATATTACAACATTTAAAAAATTGTTAATATGCGTGTAATGTTTATAGGTCTTTCACCACATACAAAAATAATACTTACACAAAAATAATAATGAGAAACTATATCTAAAATTTAAAATTCAAGCACAAAGTATTATCTTTAAGTACAAAAATAGATACTATATTAGTTGGGCTAGTGGTTCAGATCTAAAAACCTAAATTTAAACATAATAAACTATAAATATGTATAAAGATAAATTATATTAGAAAATATAAATGTACATGTAAATAAAAAAATTATATATATATATATATACATATATATATATATATATATTAAATGTAGCGGGCCGGGCTTATCGGCCCGAACGGGCCTACACCCTAACCCAAGCCCGCCCATATGTTATTGCGGGCCGGGCCGGGGCCGGCCCGGTGGGTAAATATATATGCCCAAGCCCGCCCATTTGTGCGGGCCGGTTGGGCGGGCTGGGCGGGCCGGCCCGGTTTTGTGCAGGTCTATTTAAGAGGTACCAAGTTACCACGGTCTATTATCAGAAAGGTTGGATTATTTTCATATTAATCTAAAGTGGGATTATTTTGAGAAGATGGGATAAAGGTGGGATTATTATAATCAATTTTTCCTATTTTTGGGATATTTATAATTTATATATTTATTTTTATATAATATTTCTCGCTTTTAACCTTACTTTTGGGATTTTAATTTTGGAAAAGTTACATTTCTCAATTGATGAACCAAATAATATTATTTTGCGATAGATAAAATCATTTTGAACACACTATACTTGGTTGCAAGATCCGCCACTGAAGATAAGAATCGTCAATCCATTAAGTTCACCCCACATATTAGAACTCTGTTCTAACCTCTAACTTTGAACAAATATTATTTATACATAGGAGAAATCACCAATATCACTTTTGAAAGAAAGTGTAGTGACCATGTTAACAACATGTCTAACCGTAAGGAATCGGTCCATCACAACTCCGTGATCATTTATATTTTCCTCTACAATTGTTATGTGTTTTTCGATGAAACTGTCTTCATACCTAATAATTATTATATTTCGGATATGGAGGCACACATTTTTATTATTAGTAATACAAATTTCGGAATCAGAAGCGGAGGCACTTGCCCCTCAAATTAATGTAATAAATGAACCTAAGTTAATGTAATAAAATGTTGTTTAGATGGAGGTGTTCTAACTCATTAATGACATATATATATATATATATATAGGAAATCTTTCCGGTAAGGTATACCTTACCGGAGTCGCCGTGCGGCCTCCACGTTTTGAGGGCCTTCCCGGTGGAATTTTTCGATCAAAGTTTTTGAGCATGTTCTTCATCAAGTCTAGTACATCCATACCAAATTTCGGCAAAAAATTCAATCGGGAAGGCAGTCAAACGATTTTTGGAAGATAACTGCGTTTTATATGTATATAAAGGGTGCAGTTATCTTCCAAAAATCATTTGACTGCCTTCCCGATTGAATTTTTTGCTGAAATTTGGTACGGATGTACTAGACTTGATGAAGAACATGCTCAAAAAATTTCATCGAAAAATTCCACCTGGAAGGCCTTCAAAACGTGGAGGCCGCACGGAGGCTCCGGTAAGGTATACCTTACCGGAAGAGTTCCCTATATATATATATATATATATATATATATATATCCTTCATATGTATAACACTATAACTGTATAAGACTATAAGTGCATGTTAATGCTCCAGTGCTCCACACAAGCTTTGGAGAAGAAAGTTGGAGAAGCAGTTCCGCATGAATTGTAAGGGATGTGGCTTCTTTATTTGATACCGTGCAGAATCCGATATAGAGTTTGCTGTGTTTATCTATGAAACCAATCCACTGGCAATGAATTGCGTATCCCTTATGAGTCTAGTACTATATGTGTCCTGAAGGTCATACATTTTTATGTCAAACTATGACCATATAATGCAAATATAGACTTGTGAGTTGTGTTTGCTTTTGTGCTTCACTTCTTTATCTACTCTCAAAGATAAAGACTTAACTTTGAGGACTATATAACTCACGACACATAATCCAACCTGTAGGATGCCCCTGTTCCACGCTGCATATCACAGCTAGAAGGGGGGCTTGTTCAAGTGGCAACAGATATAGTTTTATAATTTCTTCTAATTCAATTCTATTGATTCATATCTATTATATAAATGAATACTAAGCAATCATAACATATGGTTAAATTTTAAAGACATTAATGAAATCCATAAGCAATCATATCTATTATACAATGACAGAATGACTTACACTTACTCAAGCATTTTAACGTACAGTTTGTATGCATCACATATGCATTTGTACGGAAAAGATCCTGTCCAGCCGGAGGGACAGGATCCTCCGTCCGGCCACCGCCTTTTGGGGCGGTTTCTGGTGGAATTTTTTGATGAAATTTTTATGGAATGTTCCTCATCAAGTCTAGTTTATCCATAAAAAATTTCAGCTAAACATTCGATCGAAGGCAGTCAAATAAAATTTTGAAAATAACTGCGGGTTTTATATGTTTAATTTGGCGCAGTTATCTTCCAAAAATTATTTGATTCCCTTCCCAATCGAATTTTTAGCTGAAATTGTTTGTGGATAAACTAGACTTGATAAGGAACATTCCATAAAAATTTCATCAAAAAAATCCACCGGGAACCGCTCCAAATGGCAGCGGCCGGACGATCCTATCCCTCCGGCTGGACAGGATCATTCCTCTGCATTTGTATATATATGCAAGGTACACAGATATATCATCCAGTCAAGTACATCAAAGAAAAGGAACTTGTGCCAGATTCAAAAGCAAATTACTTTCAGTCGCAGAGGCTAATCTCTATAGTTCCATTGGCTCAGAAAATGATTGCTTATTCAGTTTCACCCAAACATATGTTACGAGTGAAAAGTTTTTTTGTCAATTATGTCTTCATTTGTGGAACTTGTGCCAGATTCAAAAGTTCATTCCTTATTTTGTTATTGAAATTATTATTATTTTTTCAAAAGGACGTCAATGTAAAAATGCATTTTAATGAGGAATTTTTGGTAAAATACTAAAAGCTTATTTCACTTATCATCCCTAGACTATGCAATTTGATCAATCTAGAAAAGCAAACAGGTCGTAGTTTGCTTGTCGCACCTCAAAACAAAATAGGCCAGACTTACTAGTTGCAGATGCTACTCTCTATAGTTCCATTGGCTCTTTAAATCACTAGGCTGGAAGATAATTTAACTGTAATTCAATAACTATTGACGTACATACTTCGTGTGTAATACTGTTTCAAAATTTATTCAAGGTATATCATCAGTCATGGGGTTTGCATCCGTCGAACTCCATATACAGACATCAAATTCCAGTTTCCCAGAACTACTCATGTAAGTAAAAGGAATCAGAAGAAAATCTGGTGGGAATCCTTCAATCCTGCCCGGAAAATTTTGAGCAACAGATTGTAGCCTCAAAGAGCTGCTTCCTTTTTCTGAAACAATGTCATATGAGTAGTGAGTGGTTGTGGTGCTTGGGCGAATGCTGGTGATCATAACCCGATACCCAATGCTCTCTGTTTCCCTGGACAGCAGAAACAACATCCCATCTTCTTCCGCTTGCAGCACAAGGAGCGGTTCCTTCTTCCCCAAGCTTACGCGTAAAGGAGAGTTATATTGGAAGCGTCTCCCAGAATCCCAATGACAGCTGCTGAAATGGTGGGAGAGCTGAATGGATGAATCTATAAAGTCGCAGGTCTTAATAGGGCATATGCATGGTGCATATGCACAGAACTCCGCATGGTCTTTACTGTTCACGCAATCCATGGTTACTAAGCATCCATAACTCGTGTTTCCACAAGGTGCTTGATTGGAATAAGTGGGCACATCAATGGGAGTTTTTCCCTGGAAAAGGTTTCAGCAAAGCATTCAGGTGATGAGGTGAATAAATCACTTTCCGTAGGATGACAATTAGCTGCAGGTTATGACAAAAAAATAGACCTAGAGGTCATTCTCACTTTTGTCCCTAACATTCCTTTTTTCTCACATTAGATGCACAGCTATGGATATCTTGCTACTTTCAGTCCATTTGATTACTGATCGGGCAAAAACCAACTGGATATTTTTCTAGAAAAAAAAATTGGGACTGCACGTGAAGAATGAGCCTATGATAACGGAAACCTTTAGGAACAGTGTTTCCCTATTTTTCCATAGATCAGAACAAGAAACCTTCCCAAAACATTTCAGATCAGTTACCGCATTATCTGTTATGTTTCAGAAACTGATACGCCCAGGGTTGTTTTTGTAATCTCCAAAAGTTCAGAAAAATTGTTCTAGGGAAATAAATTTTGACCTATAATAAATTTTAAAAAAAAAA